TCCTATGTGCATCACACTGCAGCAGTCACGTCCGTGCGGCTGATACTTTCTCTCGCTTTCCTTCTCATACTGCCTGTCACTTTCCCTCTAATCTACCTGTGGTTATTGTTTCTCTGTTTTTCTCCCGGCCGTTTTAAAAACATTTCAGGCTCGTAAAAGTTGAAACACCGCTCTGTGCCGCTGCAGAATGTAGTGGACTCGCGGGAGCGAGTAGAGGACGCGTGAGAGCGCGCAGCTGGCGGTCCGCTCCGGGGCTCAGTCTGCATTTCATCCAACTTTGCATTAACGAAACAATTTCACAACAGACCCTGACAAACTCACAAAAACACAAAACAAATGATTAAAATGAGTGACTTACTTTTCCGCCGTCAAAACACTGCTTCTTGAAAGACTCTTCTTTGCAGATGAAAAAATCCTTCGATTTGTCCCGATGCAGAGGATGTTTTGTTTGGAGATGCCGGTCCAATTTATTCATTTTCAAGCTTTCGTTACTGAGCACCTCTCCACATAAAACACACTGAGGCCGCTCCTCTCCATTTCTAACAGCTTTTGTGAAGCCAACGTTTAAAAACTCCTCTTTGTATCATCTTTTTGCCATCATGTACGATCGGGATTAATCAATAAACAGACAGCGCGAAAACTTTCGCGGGGGACGCGTCAGAGCTGATAAAAATACGATCTTTTATTTTTTGTTTATTTGTATTTAGAAAATTAAATCATTAAATATAGAATGCTATATTGCATAATTTCATTTTCAAAATAAAAAATAAAATACAAAAATTATAAAAAAATTGTATTTGCAACGCAGCCATCAGCTCTGACGCTGTGTGTGTGTAGCAATGCATTTAACTGGCGACCCAATCAAAACGGGTCCGTCGCGACCCTGAGTTTGGGAAAGGCTGCTCTACAGTATTTGTAAAGAACACAATGACGAAACAAATCATTAATCAGGTGAATATTTGTTTTAACATTCCTGCGGCATGCATGGGAATGAATTACAATTTTTTGTAATTCTAATTTAATATATATTTCTCAAATGTTGGTCTAATAAATTCACTAATCGGTATCGAGAAAATCCCAAAGTAGATAACCTGGTGTGTGGCAATAGTCAGATACAGCCTCATTTATTTTGGCTATATCTGAGAATAAATGCCAATTATTGGTCACCGATGGCGCCAATCAGTGCATCTCTCCTTGTTTCGCATCTTCAGTCTTCTTTCTTTCTTTTCAGATTTGATCCAGGACTGGGCGAGCGACAGCGCCCCAGACATCTACTCCTTTGTGCCGTACTCCTGGAAGTTCAAGGTGCTTTTCCACCAGTTTGAGATGATCTGGGCGGCAAACCAGCACAACTGGGTGGACTGTTCCACCAAGCAGCAGGAGAATGGTGAGGAAGATGCTCTTCTAGATGCAAAATCAGCATTTATTCACTTATATCTTAACTAGCTGAATGCAACCCTAACCAAAAAGAGAATTGGTAGAGTATGTCACTTGTTAGGCGCTTTTACCCAAAGAAATATACATACACTCAATAATGTGGGCAATCCTGACAAGAGCAATTTGGGGAGAAGTGTCTTGCCAAGGACACAACGACATGCTGACTGCAGTGGGGACTGAACCAGATCAGCGCACTACCCCACTGAGCCACATCCTCCCTGTAGATCAATATTTGTACTCAAAACGTGTGTTTATTACCAAAAAAGCATGACATATTTCATCTTTAATCAAATACATAATGCAGTACACATTATAAAAGTACAATGGGTAAGACAGAAATGCATTCCCTGTTGGAGGAAGATACATCTCTTGTTTATACAGTGAGGGCCCTAATGCGTGCAAAGCTCTTATTATCTGCAACATATTTCTGTGACAATGTGCAAACATGTTGACTCGCACCAGAAAAACATTGGCTCATTATAGAGACATATGTGGTGAAGATCATTCTGTGCCAATGAAGAAAAGCAGAGGAAAAAGAGACTCATGTCAGAGTAGAGGCACAAAATACATTTATGAACTCCAGAATGAGCACATTTGGGCTCCATTACCACAATAATTTAACCATTTTTGAAGTAAAATACATTAGGGCTATTGGATTAATTGCAATGAATTTGAGTGATAATTGTAATTGTCATTTAATTTTTTGATAGGATCTGTGCTAAACAAGGATTTCTTATAAAGTCTGAAGATTACCATTTGTATGCCGGTGCTGCAATAATACATTGTACTTTCAATACAATTTCAATTATTGTGCGGTCCTAAAGTGCTCAATGTCTCTCCCCTTTTGACATATTATGAGACCTATAAGTGGTTTTTTTTCATCACAAATGTATGTGTATGTGTATTTTAGTTTTTGTTATGTTTTTTTACGCATTAGCATTAGCCCTAAGGCAAAATAATAAAATTAATTCACATCCTGCCATGAAAGCAATCGATGAGTTAATTCCTCTCTAGCACCGGACGCTTACAGGATACTTGCACTTTATTAAGTCATGATATATTACAAACTGTACTCAGCTTAATCCCGGTGCATTGCAGACTAATCAACATCATTATTGATCTCCCATAGTGTACCTAGCAGCGTGTGGCGAGACGCTCAATATAGACTTCACTTTGGCTTTCAACGAGTTTGTTCCTACCACCTGCAACACCCGCTTCAGCTTACAGGTGAGGCACACTCCCAGTGAACATGATTTGTTCCAAAATGTTTCGTTTTTTCGTGTTTTCATACTGATAAGCAGAGGTCGAAGAAGCACTTAAGTTCAAATATAAACACGACAGTGTAAAATGTAACTCAAATAAAAGTACAAAAGCATCAAAATAAACACATTATTTTATTATATTTATTGGAAGATTTTTTTATGTTACGGCTGGTAAATGTGGGATTTATTTGAATTCATTTGTATTATATATAATAAACTTTTAATAATTTAAGGAAGAGGGTCAGGGCCACAGTTATTACTTTTTACTGAGAATTCTGAATTTAATCTTGATTACAAGTAGCTCAATATTGTAATCAAGATTAAATTCAGAAAAAGTAATAACTCTGACCCTTACCCTCTTCCTTAGTGTCCTTAATGTACTTAGTTATATTCCACCACAGTTAGTTAAAAGCTGATTTTTGACATCAAGATGTACACTATTTCTACGGACTCATAGTTGTGAAATCGTTAACTATGTGGGTGTGTATACCATTTATTTGAGATCAATTTAATAGTTTTTTAAAGCTTTTAATGGTCTTATGCCTTGGTATTTATCATCTTTGAACCTACGAACCCTTTAAAACTCTCACGTCTTCTGCTGCTGGCCTTTTTATCATACTTAAAGCAATACCACGGTTGTGGAACAGCTTCTCAGACTTTGGTTGGTTTGAAGTGTTTTTATTTCAGTATCAAAAGACCTATTTAAATAAAGTTTGATTTGATTTGATGATATGATGTGCGTTGCCCTCCTCAGGCCGAGGATACAGACATGCGGCTGTCCCTGCCAGAGTGCCATCCGAGCCGCTGCCCCCTCCTCACCCTGGCCAAAGACTACCAGAACGTTAAGCTGCCCCCAGACATGTTCATGCCGGGGGAACACCACAGCGCCCCCCCTCCCAAACCCAGCAAGTCCCGCTGGAGGAACATCACCCACGCAGAGTGAGTTCAACCTGGGAATTATCTCTGTCAAGTTGTGAGCTAACAGCAAGTGCGTTCTCAAAGAGCAGGATGAGTCATCATCGTAACACTGACTCACATCGGGTATAAAAGAAATGTTGCAGAGGTAGTAGGTGGTGAGATAAAGTGAATACCACTAACCTTCACTTTTTATGTGCTTCAGCAGTTGCTGCCCACGGATTAATAGCCTGTATAATATTATTATTTTATAAGAGGTGTAACCCCTGTCCTTTTCACTACAGCCTTTTTCCATTCAAAGCCTTTATTATCTGAAGAAAATTCAAGACATTCCACCCAAAGATGTTAAAGAATTTTAAAACAGTTTTTCAAAATGATTCATGCGCCTTCATCACACGAGCAGTTTGTTTCTCACCAACCATAACGCAACACAACAGCTTATGGATATCTCCGGTACTGGTTCTCAATACCCACCCATAAGTAAGGGAGCATTGATCCAGACTGTTAAAACAATCAGAAAACGTATATGTCTGGATATTTGTGTAGTTTGAAAAGCCCTCTATGCAGATGACGCATCACTAAATGCGACAAAAACAGAAGCCTAAAAAAAGCTTGGGGTTCAGTAGTAGAGCTTGGCAATAAGGCTAAACTCTTCTATTATTGTTCTTCTTCAGATAAATATAACATTTTGTAGTAGAGGAAGTTCGGTAGGATCACAGGTAGCTAGGAAGGAAATTAGGTATCACAGGTAGTTATGTAGGTAGGTATGATGACAGTTGGGCAGGAAGGAAGTTTGGTAAGTAGAGTTTCAGGCAGGCAGGTAGGTAGGTAGGTAGGATTTAGATACGCTTCAATATCGTGGACATGCCAACAGGAGCAATTTGGGTTTAGTATTCTGCCCAAAGACGCTTTGACATGTTGAGTGCAGGGGGTGGGAATCAAACAACTGACCCTCCTATTCATAGATGACTATGTTTTCCTTTAGCCACAGCCGCATCCCTTTTTAACTCAGCCTTAGCATAAAAGTCAGGGAGAGTTCGAAGAGATGCTGATTAACCTTTGCTGGTGGGGTAGCGCTATGCATCGTGCTGTCTGTACAGGATGACTCAACATCGATTCAGATCATTTATTATGTATAGCTCAGAGCAAGACTCTACTGATGTAACGCTGTGAGGGGCCCACTTACCCCCGGGGAGGGGAGGATCGACTCTGTCTGGACCGCTGCACTCAGGCGAAACACATTTACTGTCTCTCGCCTCTACTGTACGTCCTTGAAGGGAACGGTTCATAAAGCGAACGATGGGCTGTGAAATCCACTGTGAAATGATGATAAACTCAGCGTTATGTCTGTGTACTGTTTTCTCTTCCTCACACCAGAGCCGGCTGGGTGGATTGTTGGAGTGTACCCAACTTCCTGCTCATCATCGACTACACATGGCACCCCATTTATCCCCAGAAGGCTGACGAGCAACTCAAACAGTCCTGTAAGTTCTCCACCTAAGATCAATATTTGTTGTATGTTCTAAATAATAGAATAATGTTGTATTAATTACTCAATAATAATTAACTACATTATATATTGTAGTACAATGTGAACATTTTTACTTTATCTTTTTTTATATATGTTAATATCAATATTTGTATTCTATTTGATCTTATTGTGTCTTTTTTGTGTGCACATTCTTACATTCACCTTTTTATGTTTATATAAATATTTTTCTTATTTCTTATATTTCTTTCCTTCTATTCATCTTTTATTTTATTATATTGTAAAATGAATCTCCTCACACAACACCAAAGTCCTCCCGGGGATAAATAAAGTATTCTGAATCTGATTGGTTGAGGCTGAATAAAGCCAACCATGACGAAATGAATGTGGACGAAATGCAACATTCTTCTTTCATTTGAATCCTTCCTCCATCATTTGACTTGTATATCTTAAGGAGCTGTTTTGCATAATGTTGTGTAACTTGCCTGTGGTTTGTTGTGAAGTGTCTGAGATGGAGGAGTCCATGCTGTCAGCCCTGCGTCCCCCAGAGCACACCTCGGTGCACCACAACGCGTCTCCCCGCTTCACCTCCAAGTCTGCCTCCGCCGCCCACAGCAGGATGCCCGCGGAACCCTCGGAGCTCCCCCCCGACAGACTTCACGTAGAGATGGAAATGTCCCCAGATTCTCGAATCATCCTCTACGGGCCTTTGCTCCGGGCACTGATCTCCATCAAGGTACGAATATCCTCTTTCTGCTAAAGTGTATAGAGTAATTCCAGATTTTATAGAACACCCCTCCAACTGTCCTTCGTGTTTCTACAGGAAAACTATTTTGGTGAGGACGACATGTACACAGACTTTGAGGAGGCCGTTTCCAGCCCTGTGCTGTCCACCTCCACCTCCTCGGGCCTCGGTTGGTCTCCCCTGGGAATGGAGGACAGCGAGCAGAAGGAAAACTCAAACATCCATCCCTTAGACCTGCGCCCCTGGGACATCACTGTGCTCATCAACCTCTACAAAGTCCACGGCCGACTGCCAATGGTAAAACTGATGACTGCCAATAATTTGGTTTGGAAAGAGACAGAGCTATGTGAAACATTTTAGCAAATGGGCTTTTAGCAGAGATTATGAAGCTATTTCATCATAGCAGTCTGACAAAAAGATGGAACTGTATACTGAGGAGCGTTTGAGACATGGAAACTCATGATTGTACACAGGAGACAAATAAAAATGTCAAGATACTATAGGCAAAAAAGAAAAAAAAGAATATGACCAAAGAAAGTGCTATTAACAATAATGATATATACTCAGAATAACAAGAAAATTGCTTAAACAGTTATATATATTTTTAATTGATAATTAAAGTGCTATTTTATTTATATTTTTGTTTTTAATGGGGGTTCCTGGGTCCAACTCGCAGTGAGGTAGTAGCAATCCAACATTACATTCGGAGTAATTTAAGCAAAGTGTTAAACATATGTTTTTTCTTGGCTTGCAAGGAATTTTCTTTTAAATGTATCCCTCCCAGCTGTGCTTTTTGAGTTGATGTGTTTTATGTTTACGAAAACAATCTTGATGCACATATTTTCTTACTTTTTTTACCCGGTGCCTTTCAGCACTGCAGCAGCGAGGGTCCCGAAGGTCCATCTGGCTTCTTGGAGCGGCTGTGTTTTGAGATGAAGAAGGGTTATAAGGAGACGATGCTTCAGCTGCTCCTGTCTCCCATTCACATCTTCGTCAGTGACAACTACCAGGTCAGAAATGCAGATAAATGTGTGCCTGATGTGATGTGCTTCATTGTGGCTCCATATTGGTCATTGTCCTGATTTAAATTGAATCTTTTGGGAAATGCCTTTTTGTTAAGTAGCAAAAAAATAGTTTTTGCAATTAAAAGTCATATGTTGGCTCCTACATTCATGTTTAAATTGAAAAGGTTAGGCAAGAGCGCATAATCCAGTTTAGGAGTACTAGCTTGAAGGTACAGTACTATGTAAGTTATTTTACATACCGTAATTTTCGGACTATAAGGCGCACCTGAATATAAGCCGCAGCAGCTAAATTGAATGATGTGTACATATATAAGCCGCACTGGACTATAAACCGCAGGTGTTTTAATGTTTAATTACCATAAGGGTTCGTGCACAGAGGGGATTGTCGGGAAAGAGATGGCTGTTTGAGGAAGCTCCCATTTATTAACATTTCAACAAACAAGTTGCATATTTGCATAACGTATTCAAGTGTTACCATTTAGTGCAATAGTAGCTACAGAACATGTACTGTGCTGTGTAAACTGTACTGTATCACATAGCGTTTCAGACACACAAACTTTTCAACTTTCAAACTTAAACGGTGCGCTCCCAGCGCACGTACTGGCAGTGATCTACAGCAGTGGTTTTCAACCAGTGGTACGGGGACAAACTGTCTCGCTCTCGTAATGTCTGTCTGTCTTGCTCTCGTTCTG